TTATTTGAAAAAATTATCAAATATGATCGATCATTTTCAAAATATAATCGATCAGAATCGGATTCGCTTGAGCGAGACCTCGCTCAAGCGAAATACAACCCGAGACTTAACAATCTTAAAATATGTAACTTCTAATAGCGGTTAAACCTTAACCGCTATCTTATATACACTTCAGATAGCGGTTATAAGGGAATCGCTATTATATCCTCTCAATTATGATCGATCATTTAAAGTTATGATCGATCAGAATCGTATTTCACTCGAGCGAGAGTGGTGTCGCTCAAGCGAAATACAACCCGAGAATGCCAATTTTGTGCAGTAGGCGTTTAGCTTGAGCGAGACCATTGTCGCTCAAGCGAAATACATTTTACAATATTTTAATCGATACAACTTGATTTTAATCGATTAAAACCACTTAAGGGTTCAGGATGATCGATCATAATGCAATTATGACCGATCAGAATCGATTTAATCGATTAAATCTCGTTTCAATCGATTAAAACAACTTAAAAATTTCTACACAGCGTTTTAATCGATTAAAACTTATTTTTATCAGTTAAAATAACTTGAAAAGTTTTACAAGAAAGTTTTGCAGTATTTCAATCGATTGAATCGTGAAACAATCGATTGAATCGTGAAACAATCGATTAAATCAACTTAGAGGATTTTTTGTAAAGTGTTTTAATTGATATAAGCGTTGTCGTATCAGTTAAAACAAATCAGTTAAAGAATCAAGAACGTATTAATGGATTAAAAGAAGTTTTAACAGATTAAAACTGCACTTTTAACAGATTAAAAGAATCTTTTAACAGATTAATTAAACCAGTAGTTTTGAAAATCTTCTATTAAAACAGTTTGGCTTGAACTTTTTTAACATACATTGAATATCATCTTTTACACATCCTTGAGCAATCAATCAAGCAAACTTCAGCACTCTTTTCAAGAAAGATTAGCATCAGTTTTTGAGAAGTTCTTTGAAAATCTTTTTTGAGGCAACTTGATTTTTTTGAAGAAGAAACACTTACAGCAGAATTGCATAAACTGGTTTGAGCATTCTAGTTTCTTCTTTTTCATTTCTTTACATTCTTTTTGTATTGTTTGGTGCCTGGAATTTGGGCACTTGGTTTCTCTCGAGTTGGAATTTGGTTGTAGAGGTTATTAAGAGCTGGAATTTGGTAATACGGAAAACATTTCGGAAAGCAAAATGTTAAATACTTTTAAATATTAAAATTGACTTTATAAAAAATTAGGAAAAAAAATTTATCAAAAAGAGTTCAAAAATGTATTATAATATTTTCAGTTTTAGTTTAATTATATTTTTCATTCTCAAAGTAGAAAAATATATTGTAATATTATTTTAATTTAATAAAATATAATTTAAATTTTTAATACTAAAATTAAAAGATTAAATAATAATAAATTTAATTATTTAAATTTAGTATTTAGAAACTAAAATTATAGTTTCTCTGTTTTAAAAAATTAAAATAAATATTTAAAAATAAAAATCAAAACTATTATTATGTTAAATTTATTAAAAGTATAATTAAATCTCTATTTTCTTCAATTTTTTAATATAAATTTTTAAAATATAAATTAATTTCAATTGAAATTTTCAATTGAAAAATAAATTCAAGAATATTTGTTATTAAACTTTTCTTAAACAATGTATTGAATAGTTAACATCACTCTAGTCTTAATTTATTACAATTTAAATTTTTAATAAATTTGATTTATTACAATTCATTTTGTTAATATTGAGACCAAAGTTTATTTTTAAAGTATATTTTAAAAATTAAATTATTTTTAAAAACTAAATTACTTTTAAAAAATAAATTGTAAAAAATATACTAAAACAATTAAAGTATATTTATAAAAAAATTTAAATATAATAAAAAATAATATTCATTAGCGACCGATTTCAATTCGGTCGCTATTTTCTCATTAGCGACCGATTATAATTCGGTCACTATTTCAATTTGTAATTCGATCGCTAAATCGAGTCGCTAAATGATTTTTTTATTTTAGTGTGGAATAGCCATAGATTTAGCGATCGAAATTTTGCGACGCAAATTATTGGTCGCTATTTCGGTCGCTAAATAACAAAATGAAAACCAATTCATATTTTGGTCGCTAAATCGGTCACTAATTGCGACCAAATTAAAGTGGTCAGCTGAATCGAGTCGCTAATTGCGATCTGAATTAAAGTGGTCGCTAAATCGGTTGCTATTTGCGACCAAAATTAAATCGATCGCTAAATCGGTTGCTATTTGCGACCGAAAAAATTCGATCGCTAATTTCGGTGGCTAAATGTCATTTTTCTTGTAGTGATTTTTCTTCCTAATCGAATATATATATATATATATATATATATATATATATATATATATATATATATATATATATATATATATATTTGTTTCAATGATATCGATTTTTAAAATTTGTTATCGATTCTTTTGAAACAATGTTTTTTTCCATATTTAACATTTGAGCGAATGAGATGAGACAAGGGTATCATGTCCTAATTTTGTAAGAGATAGGATGTGCTAATGTGTCTTAAAGAGAAAAAGAAATACATGTATAATATTTTAAAAAACTTAGAAATACCTATGTAAATAGTTTAAAAAATAAGGGATACATTTGCAAAATATAGAAGACGATTACATGTATAAATTTAAATGGAGAATAATAAAAATAATTTTTATTATCTATTAATCAATTAAATGAGTTAAAGTACTAGTTCCAAAATAATGATTATAAATAGAAGGGTACATGTAAATTGTAATTATAAGAAAATGTTACCGTGATTAATTCTATATTTACCAGCCGAAATACATGCGTAGATATTTGTCTGTTCATCTTTTTTTTTTTTTAAGATAGAAAAATAAATATTTTATATTTAAGAGAAAATTTGAAAAAAAAAAAACGAAACAAACGTGTGATAAAAAGAGGTATATAAACAATAATATATATATATATATATATATATATATATATATATATATATATAATATTTTCTCTCATAAAAAGTGGTTAGAAAAGAATCTGTAATAGATAATATTTACTTTAATTATTTATTGGATATTTTGAGTCTATCACTAACGAAACAATTTTGTAAGAATTTGTTATTTTGTTGTGCAGTATGAAATTAATTATATAAGATAAATGTTTGGTTGGATAGCTTCGCTTCTTTCGGTTTCTTTTGGAATATTAGAGGATCCGTATTCTAAGATGGGTTGTTCTTCTTCTGGATCCACCAAAGCTAATATGCTTTCCAATGTTCGAGCGTGATTCTGAACCCAAGGGGATGGCAAACGATAAAGTTCAACAAGTGACTCATCACATTGAACTAACATTTTAATATTCGTTTCAATTAGACTCCTCAGATCTACATATATAGCATTGAAGGAGCGAAAGGGATGAACCAACTGAGATCAGAATGCAAAGCTGAATTTGTAGTTAATAGAGACCGCATGCACGAAAAAAACAACAAAACCAAAATGGTACAAATGGATTTTGTATAAATAAGTTAATGCTTATTAATAATCCATTGTAGATTTTATAGCACAAGTTGATGTTTGTTGAGGGTAGAAATGGAGTTTGTTAAAGAAATTGAAGTGAAAAGAGGAGGAGATGTTGGTCCAAGAATCTCTTTCTTGACAACCAATAGACAAAAAGTAACTGCAGGAAAATTCTCTCGTACTGAAAAGGCTCTTTCTCGCAACCAATGAAGAAGAGATACGATGGGGTATAAATATTTGTCCGATCGTAGGACATGTGTCATTGGGCGATACATTTGGGACTGACGCACTCATGTGGATGGAATAGGTGAGTGTGAGTGGTGAGTGGTCTTCGAATTTGCTGCCCACTAGCATTGTCTTTCTAGTGGAGGTTACCATTACAAATTATCTTGTCAAAATTTTACGCTATTATTCCATCATATTGTATAAATATCAAATGAATAGATTATATTTCATTTTAACGTTTCATTTTGTATTGCTTTTAATGCAATACAAAACTAAACGGCAATATTATGCCACTTCTAGACAGTTATCCTATCAAAGTGGTTGTATGCTAATTAAAATAGTCATGAGTGACAAATATTGCCACAATTTTTTATTAGAAAATCTGAATCTAAAATCAGTGATCAACAATTTCATATAACAAGTATAAACCCTTGTATTGCCCAAAACAAAAATATCTACAAATAAATATAATAAAGCTAATAAGGTTAATATTTACTAAAAGAAATTTAACAGAAATATGTAAAGTTATTATGATAATCATTGTGTCTAGAGTAACTATAATTTAATTATTCTTTATTATTATTTTTTATAATTTAATATTAAAATAAGTTATTAAGTTAAATCGTAATATTATAAAAAATGAAAATAAGTACCATAAATAACTCTTTTAAGTCAAATAAGTGTATCCTTATATATATATATATATATATATATATATATATATATATATATATATATATATATTAAACACTTTTCAAATATACTAGAATATAAATAACTTGATCATTCTGATTTGTATGAATAATCATGATAATATGAAATTATAATTTAATAATTAATAAAATTTATATAAATATAATTTAATCATATATATATATATATATATATATATATATATATAATATTGTTATTAATCGAGAAATTACGTTTAGTAAATATCATAGTAATTTATTGTGTGTTATTATTTAATATATAATGGCGAAATGAAACTAAACTGTTTAATTAATTAGCTAAATATAATTATATTTCTAATTAATTTAATAATAAAGTAATAAATGGAATCATCAAACCGAATTTAGCAGTAAAAGAACAAGTGAATATATATCAAGAATAACATGCTTAAACAATGAAAACAAGAAAAAAAGGAAAAAAAAAAAACAAGAAGGTTGCTTTCAAGAATCAATATAATCATTTTGCGTTGATTCAAAATCATTGGTTGAAGTAACACAAAATAGATCCTGAATAGTTTAAGCCATGCAAGAAGCAGCCAAAGTAAAATGATGAAAAAGGTGGGATAGATATTCGTTGTCCATAATAACCATCAGAACAAAACTAATGTTTCTAGATTATGTAAAATCTACACAAAGAAACCTCTGAACTTGAAGTTTCATATACCAGGTAAAATATTCTTGAGAGGGAAAGCTTATATATATATATATATATATGAGAGAGAGACGGATCTTCTTGAAAACTGAGGGGTTATGATTCTCTAAAAATTTATAACTTTAATGTAATTTATGATTTTGATCTCAAATTTAATGAATATTTAATATATTTAGTTGTATATTTACAATTTTATTTTTTCAGTCCCTCCTTATTTTTGTAACTCTTATATAATTTATGATTTTGTTTCCTTCAAACTTTGATTATTTAATATATTTAAGTATATATCTACAATTTTATCCTTTCATCTTTTATTTTTTTATTTTTTTTATATTTATTTATTATTTATTAATAATATATTATGTGGTCCTAAAATCAATAATCAAGATCCCATTATATATATAATGAACGAGAAGAGAAGGACTGGGAAATAATTTCGAATACAGAGCCACATATATCATCAAAATATATAGAACCACATATATTAGGAATATATAAAGGTGATTCCTGAATAATCTTGATATGGCTCAGAATCTATTTTAATTTTTTTTATTAAAATATTCACAATTATCATCCCTTACAATAAACATAATTAAAAAAAAATAAAGGTAAATTGATAAATATATATATATAATTTTGAATTTTATAAATAACAGATAATAAAAATATATTTTTTAAGATTGATAATTAAAAAGAAATAAAAACAAAAGTATCTAAAGGCCTTAACTTCATTATGTTGGTCCTAATTTCTTTAGGCCGATCATTTATGTCTTAAATAGGTTATGATTTGACCCTCGTATATTTACGCCTAACTTTATTTATTGTGGTAAATCATTTATTGGTTTTTCCCATTATATTATATATATATATATATATATATATTTTTTTTTTTCTTTTTCTTTTTTTCTTGTTATGTTTCTTTCTCCTTCTTTTCTTCTCTTTTTCTCTTTTACGATAATATCATAATTATTCCTTTGAAGAGCTCTTTTGCATAACTCTGATTCCTTTTCTCTATTTTCCAAGATGACTCAAGAAGTGAAACATGATGAAGATAAGTTCTTTCTTCATTCTAGCTAGAATCCTACTATCAATCTTATGTCTCCTATTTTAGATGAAACTAATTATCATTCATGGAGTCGATCCATGATCATTGCTTTGAGTGCTAAGAACAAATTGGATTTTATTAATGGTACTACAAAAGAACTTGGTAAAATTTATTTTTCTTACGAATCTTGGAAACATTACAATAATATGGTGATTTCTTGAATTGTTCACTTTGTTTCCAAATCACATAAGTGTATTAGTGATGATATCACCGTAACATTATGGAAATATATAATATTTGTGGAATGTGTTTTTCCACACTGAATACATAATCAAATGCTTCTATTTGTAGACCCTCGTTGATGCTTACCAATCATAACAAATACATTGTGTTTAATTTCTATACTTCATCGATGGTTATAGCTCTAGAACGTGTAAAAATACATTTTATTTTGAGTATTATCATCTTTTGTCATTTGCCCTATACTTGTTTGCTCTTCATGTACCTTCTTGATGACCTAGTTTTTGATGGAGTTATTGGTGATGTTCTCACATATATCCCTTTATTGATTTCTTGTTCTGACAAATTGACAAACTCTTTTACCTTTCCTCGTTGATTTTTCAAGTAAAGGATTCTCTATGAACACTTGAGGACAATCCGAAATACTATGAAAACACACACACACACCTTGGTTTTTATGTTTTTTTATTTTTTTTATTTTAAATAAGATATTTTTGTTAAGTTTTGGAGGGAGTAATCATTTACAAAGATTAACACAAAATGGTTCAACACAGGATACAATTAATCTCTAATGATTTTAATTAAAAAACTATTTTTTTTCCTTTATATATTACTTTTTGTACCTGCTTACTTAATCTTATGCCAATATGATATGAGGACCTAATTATGCTCTGTCCATTTTTAATACAATGTTGCACTTTGCTTGTTGGAAATTCCTTATTTCCTTCAACGTTAATCTTTAGAAAAAGTAATCTATGGGACGAATACGTTTCATGGTTAATAATATAATGTTCGTTGACACTATTGAAGCTAACTTACAATATCATACCATAACAAAGTCCATTGACCAAATTTGTTATATATGATAATCTTTGACTTTGAATTTTTTTTTTTAAATTATTCACATCCACCTTAAATGCGATTCATAGAATTGGATTAATATCCAAAAATATAAATTTGTTTTTAAAATATTCATTAAAATAAATTTAAAATCATTTAAATTTGAATAATTATATATTAAATTTAAATATTTAGATTTTTGACACACATTCTATTTGATCTATAACAGGGACAAACCTGCAATAAGAATAAGCATTTTCCCAATAAAGAAAAAGAAACAGTTAAAAATGATGCGTGATAAACTGGAATGGAACTTTCCCATATTACTGGGCCAGAAGGGGAGAATAAGAAAACCACGCCTTGGGTCCCGAAGAAACTCACCTTTTCTGTGTTGTAGGGCAAAGATCTTTTAATTATTTGGAAAGCGAAAGCACGTTGTATAAATAGAGACGGCCTTGTAGCTTGTCTCATAACAAAGTGGTTTTGAGGAAAACAGTGTTCACTTATGCCTGGAGGAAGTAGGGACCCTCTGGTTGTTGGGCGTGTGATTGGGGATGTGTTGGACCCCTTTGAATCTTCCATTCCCATGAGGGTCTCCTACAGCACCAGAGATGTCACCAATGGATGTGAATTCAAACCGTCACAAGTTGTCAACCAACCAAGAATAAATATCGGAGGAGATGACCTCAGGAACTTCTACACCTTGGTAATCATACTTCATTACTCTTTCTGTTCTCTTTTTTTATCCTCATTTTCAATTCGTAATAATTACTAGAAGAGTTCAACATGATTTTTCCTTTGAACTAACTTTAGGTTTTTAATCTTTGTAATAAAATCATTTTTTTTGGGATTCCAGTTAAAGCACTCATTTTAATTTTATAGTTAACAAATTTTACCTTTTTATACTTGGTTTAAAAATATAACTGTTTTAGTTTTTATACATATTATTTGTATTTCTTTTATTCATTATTATTGTAGATGATAAAGACTAAAAGATTGAAAATAATATGTAAACTGATATATGTAAATTCTAAATTGGATGTTATCGTTAAATGAGACAAAATCAGAAAATTGATCTTTAAATATTTTTTTAAGAGGATTGTAGTCTAGTCAACCCCCTTCACCCTTCGTGTAAGAAAAAGGACTAAATAAATAATTAAAGTTTATTTTATAATTTTATTTCTCAAGGATTTTGGTTTATAATGTCATCTAACACATGCTATATGTGATGTGTTTAAAATTACTATTATGTTTCAGAATAAAAATGGAACCTAAGACAAACATTACAAACAAAAATAATAATGATATCATATGTTTAAAAGGATGGCAATATTTTTATATAAAAATTAAAACTAAATTTCATTCACTTTATAAAAGGTATTAATGATAATGATTTGAAGTTTTGAAAAATAAAATTAACCAATTATTTTTAGAAAGATGAAAATAAAAGGCTTATATAGTAATAATTAGGAATATAATAGCAGCTTAATGCAATAAATATTACGACTAATTGCAATCTGGGATCAATGGATGTTTACATTAATAATACTTTCAACGTTATTTCATGTCGATTCATAATATCTTTCATTAACAGATCGCAGTTGATCCCGATGCACCTAGTCCAAGTGACCCCAATTTGAGAGAATACCTCCATTGGTGAGCAAAAATTGTGCTTCGATCATGTCATGAATATTCTTCTACGTGAACTCAACCATACATTTATGAATTTTTCTAGCTCCATGTTGCAATATTTTTACCACCTCTCTCAAACATATTTCAGGTTGGTGACTGATATTCCTGCAACAACAGGACCTAGTTTCGGTATGTATGATCTTCGTCCATTTCATTAACCCAAAACTCTGTGTGCTAGCTAGCTTAAACCTATTCAAACCCTTATATTTAATTAAAATTATATTTATGTCTATATTAATAACAAAATTATGTTATCTTATGTGTATTAGCGGTTTACTACAGAAACTCAAATTTTCAAAATCGTTGTTAATTATTTATTAAGATCTTACATTCAACTCTGAATTCCTAGACTCGTTAAGTTTTGGAATAAAAAAAATCGGTTATATGATAAGAAGCCTACATCAATAATAATTATTTTACAGAATATATATTCTGGAAGGAAATTAAATTTTGGATATTCTATAAGGTTCCATCAACTTTTATCTTAAAAGTTTATCTTTTGTCGTTTGGAGTATTACGTCTCCTTTCCTACATATCAACGATGTCCTAGTTTATCAGAATATATACGTGGTCCAAAATAGTAATAAACATTTTTTATGATTTTAATTTAACTATATTAGAGTGAAAAATGTTGACTATTCTTTAGAATTTATCTTCACAGTCATGAATAATTTTAATTGGTTTCATCTTGCTGATTTACAATTAGCCTGTGCATTGAATTTGATCTAAAGTAGTTTTCTTCTTCGCCAAAGATGTATACAGTAAGTCTTTGGTTCATGTTGCTTTGCTGGGTTACAATATGAAACACTAGTATCATTTGAAACGTTGCATACATGAGGTATAAAAGCATAAATTCAGATAATGTATTATAGTTGAACATGTATAGTAAAAATGACAATGTCAGAAATCATCATATATTGTCCGATCAAGCAATGTAAGCAGAAAACGCTTGTAGAAATTATGTCTTGACTACCCCTATTTATTGGTTTTAATCCTCAAAAAAATTAATTTTTTATTTCAAAATAGTATTATAACATCCCAAAATGGTATGATACGTGAGAGAGTGATGCATACTACATTAAAAAATAAAATAAAATAAAATCGAAGAGGATTAAAAGTGAAAAAAAGATACTGTGTTAAGCCATATTTACAACTTACAAGTTTTAAGTGAGAGGATTCAAAACATGCCGTATGGAGAATCCAAATTAGCCAATCAAACGACGAAACATAAAAGCATTCAAGCATTGTTTAATTTCTCTCTTCCCTCAGAACCATACAGCCGTGGAATTCTTAAAGTGCATGTCATGTGAGAAAAGATGAGAAGATTCTATGCAAACAAGACACAAAGCAACTGTTCTGACTAAAGGAGAATATTCTTACTGAATAGATTACCTTTTGCTGGCCATCTTTTCAGAATCACATGGCAAGATTACACTAAACCCTGATAGGTCTACAGAACATCATCGATGAAGCTGTCGATGCATCTGGTTCAACAATAATCGATAAGATGATCTGCTAGAATAAATACGAATCAGATATGTTTAAACTCCTCTCCAAAACATCTTGACCAAAACTGACTTCGAGTCAAATAGGTTACTGTAAGTGACAAAACACTCATTCTGAGTTTATTCGTAGTCTCATATTCAGAATTCGAACAGAATTCTGATTAAGTTGGAACAACTTTACACATCTGACCAACATAAAAAATTCAATAAATTCAACAGCCTTACAATATTCCAAGTGAAAAAGGACCTCCTGCGTTTGAACCTTCACTTCCACCACACCCCATCAACCTTCTCATGAAAGTAGAAACCCTCCTTTGAACAAATTTTGAGATCTACCAAATTTAGTGAACCCACACACACCTTGCTAAAAGAAAACAAAAAATCATTTATATCACCTATCTGCTTTTCTAAGCCAGAGCCTACCAGTAAGAACTTTCCACTGAATTGAAATCACGCGTTCCCAATTCCCATTTAATTTCCTTTCTTATCTCATCAATAAGAAAATGACACGTAACTTAAACCCATACTCTTCTGACTATTATTATTATTTTATTTTAAGTTTTCTGGTATTTTCTAATTGGAAGAGAGGGAAAGGGGGTGGTTTTGTTTCTTTAAAAAATGTTGACGACTTTTCATCCATTCGTCGGTTATATAAGTCTTCTATAGGACAGTAGTAGGACCATACATGTCTTATTAATATCGAAACTGAAATATATTATTTTATTTTTGTTTATGAAACCGAAATATATGATCATAATGAAATGACTAATACAAACTTTGCACAGGTCATGAGGTTGTAACATATGAGAGTCCACGACCCATGATGGGGATTCATCGTATCGTGTTTGTGTTGTTTCGTCAACTAGGTAGGGAGACAGTGTATGCACCAGGATGGCGCCAGAATTTCAACACCAGAGAATTTGCTGAACTTTACAACCTTGGATTGCCAGTTGCTGCTGTCTATTTCAACATTCAGAGAGAATCTGGCTCTGGTGGAAGGAGGTTATACTAAGCAAGACAAAGAACTTTATAGTATAGAAAAAATAAAGTACTAATTATGGGTTTTCGAAATATTAGCAATCACCTAGTAAACGAGTGCTTTTTCAACTTAAACTCAACATATATATCGAATAAATCACTAGCTCGGTTGGGTAGCATCAAGAAATCTGCTTGTCTTCATGAATGGAACCAAAGTATGCACTTGGTTCATTTTTTAAATATATTTATGATCTATTTGAAAATTGTTATATAGATATTTATACATTGTTCATAGGTTCCACTATATTGTCTATAGATGGTTGTATCCCTAATCATTAGCATCACATTACTTGTGCTTAAATAATAGTTTACATAAATAGCTTATTAAAAAAAAAAAAATACGACCAAGTTCTATTATAAGATTCGATCGTATTACCAAAAAAATATGAGATTGGATCTGTACTTTCAATGTATATTTTATTACGGTTATACATCTCTACTTTTGCGGAAAGAAAAAAATTCTCCGGGAATCACATACTATACGAACAAGGCATAAATTTAGAATGTGAAAGAGCTAATGATGTTGTAGGGATTTGTGGACTATATCATAGACACGATTAGCTTTCAACGAATGTATGGTGGGTTGAAGTAACTTTCGAATTGGTGTTGATATAGAAAATGATCCTAAAATGATAAGGAACACTTTTCCAAGTGGCCAAATGAAACGAATGAGCCGAATATAACCTCGTAGACATCGAGTGCAAGATATGAAAAATGAAGGTACGGATTCCTTGAGATATTGACCGGAATATATTTCTCTTGTCTGTTATGTTTCAATATCATCTTACAAACATTGATTTTTAGGTATTGTGAAATTCGATCCATTTTGTCTTTAACCCTAACTCTCTGATTTGCATGTCGAGGGAAATATTGCTTTTGTGACATTTGACATACATTTTGAGAAATCTTGTAATCGTCTTATATTGCTAAAATATAAATATTTAACTTTTGAGGGCATGAGCTTAATTATTTTTATGCTAATTAACAGCTTGTTTGAATATGAAATTTTTAATATGCAGTTTTATACACTATGATTTGGTCAATCAAGCTATTGAGGTAACGTCGTGCACTACACTTCCCCCACACTGACAAATAATACTGCTTAATGAAATTATACTATCACAATAAATGTACACAAGTAGTCATCATCAAGAAATTTTTATCTAACGAAATTAAACTTTGAAATATCATATATAATGAAAACCTACAAAAGGTTGAATCACTAGTGGAAAAATAGCATTCTATGACGAGTTTTTATCACGGTCGTAGTCTACCCGTCATAGTATGTAGCGCGGTGACAATTTTGTAATTAAATCATAAACTTTCTATGTCGGGTAAATTTTAATCGACATAGTAAGTGGAAAGTTCACTTTCTATGTTGGTTAAAATTTACCCGACATAGAAAGTGAACTTTCTATATCGGTTATAATTTACCCGACATAGAAAGTGAACTTTCTATGTCGGTTGAAATTTAACCGACATAGAAAGTGTATATTAAATAAAAAAAATTAAATATATAAGTATATAAATATTTATATATCAAAATATATAAATATATTTGTATTTATATATTTTGTATATAAATATAATTTATTTGTAAGTTATGTATCGTAAATTCATAGTAGTTTAGTGGTTGGAGTATCAGTCTCCAACTCTAAGGTACTCGGGTTCGAATCTTGTTAGACACAAATCTCTTAAACGGATAATAAAATAATATATTATAAAGTATAATAAAAATATAATATGAATAAATGAATAAAAATCGTACTAGTGTAGTGGTTGGTCTAATTCTAGACTCTAATGTACTAGGTTCGAATCCTACCAGTGACAATTTTTGTAAAAAGTCCATTACTTTCTATGTCGGTTCATTACAACCGACATAAAAAGTCATACTTTCTATGACCCCTGTATCTATGTCGCCTCTTTAACCGACGTAAAAAACTCATTTTAACCGACATAAAAAGCCTTTTTTGCACTAGTGAATATCAATAGGCTTTGTGATATATAAAAAAAAAAAAATCTTGTCAAGCATTGCCAAAAGATTTAAAAGCCTAGATGGTAGAGTTTGAAAGCTTAAATGGATCGACAAATGATGAGGCATTTATCATGCGAAATTTATTTTCAAAAGAAAGGGAAGTCTAAACGTTTTTTTTTAGGAAAAAATAGTACTAGAAGCATGGGAAAAATGAGGACAGTGAAATTATCCACTTCGAGTTCAAGATCCATAAACGATAATTAATCTGATGAAGCAAAAAGTCGTTATTAAAAAAGAATATATGACTTAAGAGCAAAATATTTAGTATAAATTAATTTGTTCTAAGGTATTTGACATTTATTTATAGACCCAAAAGTCTTGTTTTACAATTTTATTCTCCCAGTCCATCCTCAGTTTTGTAGCTTTCATATAATTTATGATTTTGTCCCTTCAAACTTAATAATCATTTAATATATTTAAGTATATATTTATAATGTTATCATTTCACCCTTTCATCTTCTTACTTCATTTTATATTTATTTATTATTTATTAATAATATATTATTTGACCATTCCAATATCAATGGTTACGATCCGTCCCTGTCGAGAGCAGTCTTGTTAAGCTTTAAACTTGTAATTCCAGCGTGCCAGGTCAATTGTTTGGTTTTTGGCCAATGTTTCACGAACTTGATGATACATAATACAAAGCTCAAGAACATATATATGACACTCTAAAAAGAACAAAATTTTGATGTTAATGTGGAAGATCCAGATATAAAAAATATTCAAACAATCATGAGAAGGTCAATATTTATCTTACGAAAAATACAAACGAAATAAATAATGAGGTCTATATATTTTCTCTAAATCCTAGCTAGTCTGTCGAATCCTAGACTCTTTGTACTCACTTATGCAAGAGAGTTTTCGGCAGATAAGTGAGACTCATTGCATTTGCTTAAGCAAGAGAACAATGCTCGTTTAAACAAATATATCATCTAGAAGCGCTTCAAACCTATCTTTCAAAATCTTGCAAGAGCCAAAAAGAAAGAATATTTTTGGAGTATTTGTTATTGACAAATTTATAAATATATCAAAACAATGAGGTGAAATAAATATTGAAGTTAAAAATAGAAATTGAGATCGAGATTCGTGATAAAAATTGAGATCAAGATGGTAAATATTGTGAAGGTAAAAATCAAGAACGGGATTATAAAGATCGAAAAAGTGAAAATCGAGATTGACAATAAAAATCAAGATCGAGAGGGTGAAAATAGAAATCGAGATGGTGAGGATCCAGAGGGATCGAGAATCAAGAATATAAGTAAAAGAGAAGTTAATATGAAGATGTATAAGAAATCAAGATTGAGGAAAACAATTGATCAAAAATATAAATCGAAGAATCAGATAATTAAAACTTCATATGAATTGAGAAGGAAATCAAGATGTAGGTGAGGTGGTTAGGGAGAATCGAAGAATGAGATAATAGATGATTAATAATGATAAAAAAGGAAATAAAAAAGAGACAAGGTAATAATTGAAGGTTCATAATGAATTGGAGGGGAATTTGGGAAACAAATATGTTATCAGTGGTAAATCAAAGAGTTAAAGATATCGAGAAAGAGTTATACAATCAAAAAAGACAAAGGGATTAAGAGATATTTATTTAATCGAAAAAGACAATGGATCAAGAAACAATTATACAATCAAAGAAGACAATGGATCAAGAATGAGTTACACAATCTAGAAGCATGTAGAAGTGATTATAACTCCACAACGTGAAATGGAAGGTTACAAGTGCTATGTGGCAATGAAACTGTTTGAGAAAGGAGGAAAAATGGTTAATAGGAAAGAAAATGATGTATAATGAAGTATAAGGTACAAAATTTTAAGAAGATAAAATGCAGAATTTTAAGCAATAAAATAAGCAAACCCAAGGAAAATTTCCACTAGACATTAAAATAATTGTCTATCTAGATATAAAGGTTCATTTCCATAGATTATAGAGGGAGGAGGAGATGGAATGAAATTAGAAAAGAATAAAGGCAATGGGATGGAAAAATGGACCAACCCCTTAGATAAATAAATGAAATGAAGAAATAAAAAAGAAAAGATGAAGAGAAGAGAAGTATGGTGGTAATAGAGTGTTGGCATGCCACTAGGGGATGAGCCACCCTAGATAAGTGGTGGTTGTCGTCACTTAAACATGTTAGAATTATAGGTTGAGATCAAGAGGAGGGTGAATTGATCATTACAAACTTTTTCGTAACTTATAGATACAGATTAACAATTTTAAAGATTAAGAAATATGATCAAGTATTAAACCAAGAAAACCAAACAAAATTGAATAAGGTTTGTAGACCCCAAATCTTGTCCGCCCATACAATAAGTTTAGAAATCCTCTATTTTGAAGATGGACAAGGCTCCCTAGGACCCCTAGTAGTGTTAGCTACGCTCCATTTAAGAAAAGGATAATTTTCTTAAAAAATAAAAATTAGAAATTTTGTCAGAAGCTCGAGAAGGTCATCCCGGATCCCGGACGGTCGTCCCGCCTGGTCAATTATCACAAGAAGGTCGTCCCGGATTCCAGAGAGTCGTCCCAGATCATTTTTTAATTTGGGACAGTCATCCCAAATCTCAGACGGTCGTCTCGAGGCTTTTTACCAGACGAGACGGTCGTCCCGACTAACAAAGTTTGGGACGGCCGTCCTGGCCTCCTGGGAGAGCGCGCCTATAAATAAGAGCTCATTCCTCACCATTTCACACACCTTCTCAGACTCTCTCACACTCTGAGACACTTCTAGGAATTTTTTGCACTGTTCTAGAGGTCCGAGTAGTCTTTCCAATAGTCTATTTGGGCAAAATCGGTTAAGGAAGTCTCCTTTTGAGACATCTGGCTATCGGTAGTTTAATAATTTTATTGTTCGAGAGAGGAGCGTTCTTGTAGAGCGAGAAAAAGTGTCCTAAAGTTTGAAAATTTATAGAAAGCTCGCTTCGAAGGTTCTTTTTAATTCCTTCTCTTTTATTACTTTCCTTTTATCACTTTCCTCTATATGCATTAGGGTCATGTAGATATTTATTTAAATACTGCAAATAAATAAATAGGGTAAAAACATAATTTCTGTATCTTTATTTTATGAATTAATCCATCATAGGGAACCCAAGAGGGGCGTTGTGGGGTGCTAGCACCTTCCCCACATGTAACTAACTCCCTTACTCAACTCTAGTTATAATGACCAAAGTTGGTTTTTTTTAAACCAACGCCTTTTTTTTTTATCATTTTCCAATATTTATGGTTAAAACATTGGTGGCGACTCCTAAGAACCCTTTTCGACAACCTCACTTTTAAAGTTAGTTCAGTTATCGAACATCCTAAAAGTGATGATCATTTATTTTAGGAAAACGTGAGTCACAAACCATCACGTCGCGACCGCTCGCATATATTGTTTCCCCACGCCTAGCAGCGTGGGGAGGACGGCAGCAACAAGGTTCAAGCTGAATTAAAGAAGGTGATGGAAGAGGAGAGGAAACACCAAGAATTATACTGGTTCACCTAAACCACTGGGCTACATCCAGTTCTCAACCAAATTCCAGTTGAGTTCCACTAGATTGAATAGTTTGATTTACATAATCAAATTACAGACAATCCAACATGCACCAAGAACCAAATTCCAATTCTTGAATCCAACCTGCAACCGAATTCCAGTTGTAGAACCAAA